TCCAAACTCGGGTTCTATTGATCAACCCTCTGATTCATCTCTTCAGTTGTCCTCTCTCTTCTGTCCCCATGGCCCCCATAGGCATGCTGCGTCCCTCAACACCTCTGGCCTGGATGTGTGGCAGCCTAGTGGCAGAAACACATCTAAAAGTTAGCAGTGGCTGCCTCCCTACTGTGGGATCAGGAGGCATTTCTGTCTTCTTTATATATTTTCAAATTTTCAAAATGTCTGCAATGAGGGGCTGGCCCGGTGGCGCAGTGGTTAAGTGTGCACGTTCTGCTTCTGTGGCCTAGGGTTCGCAGGTTCGGATCCTGGGTGTGGACATGGCACCGCCTGGCAAGCCATGCTGTGGCAGGCGTCCCACATATAAAAAAAAAAAAAAATGTCTGCAATGAGAATTATCATCCTTTCAGGGGCCCCTTGGTGAGTTTACTGACTTACGCAGAGCCCTTCCATCTATGGCTCACCATCGTTGTACTCTGTGCCAGGCTCCTCTCGCGCAATTGATTCAGTGATGTACTGAGTTTCTTTTATCCCCTTCCTCCCCCCACTACCCCACCACCACCTCTTCAGTCACTAAGTATCCTTGACTGTAAACGCATCCTTGTAAAACATGCCACACTGTTCTGCGTGTGCAGGTGTCTTGTAATCTACAAAAACAGTAACGTGCCACACGTCTTGTTCTGCTCCTTCTCTTTTGAACTTGGCACACGTGTGGTCATTGTCTGTTACTTCTGTTTACTTTCATAATCAGGGGAGAAAGAGCCAACACGTAGCAAAGGTTGAGTCTCATGGATTTCAGGGGTAGCTGTGAGTGGCTGTGAAGTCACGTGTTCCCTTCTTTTGAAATAAAGGCAATGCCTTGGAAAGGGGACAATAGGTTCCCTCGGGGAGGGGATGTGGGTGTAGTCGCCTCTGAGAAGTGTCCGTCTGTCCTCTCTGGGAGGGGCAAGAGAGGACGAGGATGGAGCAACAAGGAAGTGTCAGAGCCGGATTGGTGCTTAGGCAAAGAGGCAAAGGTCGCAAACTGGAGGCTCGTGGGATAGATCATCTGGCAGACACGTGTCGTTTGCTCCCCACAGTGTTTGATTTAAAAGATCAGGGAATTTCATGTACAAATCCAGATTTTTGGCTTCTCTTAAAAAATCACATGGTTTGGCCACTTGAGCCCACTCCCACAAGGCACTGCCTCCTTCAGACAGGGCGAGGGAGGGCTCTCCAGGGGCCGCAGGCCTCCACTCTGACGCACACCCGGCCCTCTACCTGTCCCTGCACAGCTGCGTTTGTAATACTTGCTTTAAATTTCATCAGATTCTTCAAGGAGGCCACGGCGAAGAAAACCTTAACAACTATATTTCAAGGATGCCAAAACTTGGCATGCAAACCCACCTCCTCTCTTACACCGTTGCAGACCTCATTAATTGAGCATGACACCTTTTCCTACTGAGCTTAGACTCAGCTTCAGAATCCTTCTCAACACTATGCTCTGGCAACAACCACCAAAATACCAGACTTCAGCACTCAAAATAAAAATCTGTCTGCCATTCCTGGAAACCCAATCATCTCATTTTCGAGAGGAGGCGACTAAGGCCCAGAGAGGGGAATTAACTTCCCTGAGGTCTCCACAGCTTGAGGACAGCGTTGCCTAAGGATTAATATGACGCTCACTGAGTCTCCTCCCAATTCCAATTTGTCTCCCAAGTAAAACCTGAGTGACCTCACCCAGATCTACTCATTCACAATTATTTATTGAGCACTTACTGTGTGCCAGGCACTGCGGCCATTTGTAGAGGATGCGGCAGTGAATATGCTAGATGGAGCTAGGCTGCTGTGTGGCGTACCGTTCTCCGAAAGGGAAGGACAAGAATTTCAAGTGTAAGAAGTACTTCTAACAGTGGGGCTTAACCTCATCTGGGTAGTCAGGGAGGGCTTCCTAGGGGAGGCAATGACATGGCAGCTAACATCTGCAGGACGAATTAGGAGGGAAGAGCTTTCTAGTCAGGGAGACCAGCATCGAAGGCCCTGAGGTAGAGAAACTGTGGCATCTTTGAGAAACTGAAATAAGGTCCCCAGGCCCCAGTGGCTCAAATATAGGGGGGCAAGAGGTCTTAGCCGCCCCTCCAATCCCCACCTCCCACCCCGGATCCTGCTGAGCACCTTCTTGCATGTTTAACATTTGGTGTCTTTCGATGTCTAAGTCTTTTTGTCCACTTAAAAACGGTTTTTGCATTTTGCTCTTTTCTCTTAATTTTATGTTGTGAACATTTTCCGAAGTCATCACAATTGATTTTGAAAACTTCATTTTTAACAGCCGCATTACATTCTAACACATGGATGCACCATAATTTACCAAACGATCCCTCTGTCATTAGATGGTTAAAATGTCTCCCGGTTCTCGCTATCAAAAATAATACCACTCTAACATCTTTGCTCCTGTGAGGAATTTCTGAAAAGAGATTTCTACAATTATTGATTCAGATGCTATGACCATATTTAAGATTCACGAGAACAGCAATAGCTTTATGCACATTATCCCACATGATACCTACAGCCAGCCTGTGAAGATTCCCAGGGAAGGCAGCTAAGGCTCAGAGGGCTGGTGACCAAGGTCGCTTATTCAGAGGTGACAAGGGAGCTGGTTGGAAATGGGGACCATCGGGCCCACCTCAGACCGGCTGAATCAACATCTCTGTGCTTTGAAAAGCTCTCCTGGCGATTCTGATGAAACCAAAGTTTAAGTAACATTGACCAGCTCTAAGTTCCTCATTTGCAGTTGAAGAAATTGAAACCAGAAGAGGAAAGTGCTTTGGTAGAGGTGACGTGGATTCCCCCCCAAGCCAGGATTTAAACCCAGGTCTAACCCAGTTCCAAAGACTCGCTCAAACCACGACACGGCACTGGAAACCTCGTGTCCACTTACTTTCAGGTTACACTCCCATTAAGTGTACACGAGTGTCTGTCTCATCCCACGCTTGCCAACGCTGCTAGTGGTTTCTTTTTCCTTTTTGCCTAATTTGATAAGTGAATCACCACGTTTTAAACATGCCTTACGGAACCACCTAAAAGGATGTCTATTGTAAAAATTTGTAAAGATACACAAATCCTTTTCCACGTAAATATCACCACCAACATTTGCATTTAGCAAATTAAGATAACCGTGTGTCAGGTTTTTAAAAGCAGAAAATAGCAATGGTTTGGTGACAATGTGTTACCCCACATGCTTGCAAGAGCATTTCGTTTTCATTCTCCCAGGTTAATTCAGGCTCCAGTATCCATATTGGAAACTGAGTCATCGGAAGGGGTCAGAGAGCCCAGACATTACAAAGGCTGCTTCCCTGGGGCCTGAAAGGAAAGACACCACCCCAAACGTTCCTCCTTCAGTCAGGCCCTAAATATGGCAACGCTCTGGGCCCAGCATGGAGTGGAGGCATCCAGGAGATGGCAGCATCTCACAGTGTAAGGGCTGGTGAGGATGGCTGTCCACAAGGAACTGAGAAAACCAGCTCCTGGACCACCCTAGCCCTCCCTGGGGAAAAGGAGAACAGACCTCCTGTGTGGGTCCATCAGCCCTGTCCAGGGGACCCAGCAGTCTTGGAGATCCTGGACCAACTGAGCAAGAAGGGCCCTTATCCATCGTCTCTTCCAGTGCTACCCAAGATGTGTCCAAGGACCAACGGCATCACCTGGGAACCTGTCAGGAAGGCAGAGTCTCAGCCCCAACCCAGATTGCTTTAGTCAGAAACTTGGGGTGGGGGGCGGCAGTCTGTGTTTTAACAGCCCTCCAGCTGATTCTGATGCATGCGGAAATTATAGAAGCATCTATTATCTCTAGCTTCCTCATTTGAGGAGTGGGGAAATTGAGCCAAAGGAAGTAACTTGTCCCACAGCCAGGCAGTGGCAGGGATCACACTGGAACCCAGATTCCCAGTGTTCTTCCCACCTTAGCCCTTAAGTAGCTTCCTTCTTTTCTTCATTTATTCATTCATTCGTTCATTCCTCATTCACACATTCGGACTGCTGCTGCACATTTCGGGCAGGCACTTAGGAGCAGCCTCACCCTTCTTCTCCCTGGTGGGGCTTCCTCAAGGCCAGGGGTCCAGGATTCAGCGTCATGGAAGCGTCTGCTGGATCTTTGCCGGCTCACCCCTGGTCCAGACAGACGGCTGGGGTAGGCTGCAGGTGGCCTCCACTCCCCAGCTACCTCCTGACTCATCTCTCCTTTTTCTTGGTGCCTTGGACTCTCTGTCCCATTCCTTACTGTCAATGACTTGCCCTAGGGAGAGGCACAGAGCTGGAGGTTGTTACTGTGTCCTCTCCCCAAGGGACTAATTATCAAATTAAAGGCCTCCCAGAGTGGAGTTTGCTCTGAAGGGACCAGGGCTAGGTCCTCAGCACTATTAACGTTTTGAACTGAGTGATTCGTTGTGTCCTGCACACTGCAGGATGTTCTACAGCATTCCTGGCCTCTGCCCACTCGGTATCAGAAGAATTCCCTCCTGGTTGTGACGTCTTCAGACGTTGCCAAATGTCTCCCCTGGGGGGGGTTGCCAGATCAAACATAGACTGCCCCGTTAAATTGCAATCAGATAAACAACAATAATTCTTTAGTATACGTTTGTCTCAAATATTGCCATCCTATATTTTGTTGAATCTGACAACTCTGCCTCGGGACCAGATGTCCCTTCTTGAGAACAACTGGCCCAGATCCATCCCTTGGGGTCTGGGGTGTGAAGGGCAGTAAGTGAAAAGATCTCATGAGATAATCCAAGGCCATTAGCCTAGGAGGGCAGAAACCTTATCCTGTTGATCTTCGTACCCCTAGGAAGAAGTAGACTCTGATTAAATATTCTATCTGATAACAGGTGTACAGCACTCTGAACTGTAGCAGGGACCTGAGTATTTACTGAGCCCAGGACTGGGCATTAGGGACACAGTTCTTGCCCTTAAGGAGCCAGTGTTCTAACAAACATAATGAAAATGGTGTTTGGTTTGACCCACATGGCATGTTTTAAAGATTTGACTTTCTGGTCAATATTCTAAAATTGGAAGCCATTATATTAAAGTCAGGATTTCTAGGAAAATGTGGCACATCTTCCAAATGCTTGGCACATCCAGCAATCGGGCCTGCACTCCCAAGTGTCAAGGCTTGGCTGGAGCTACAAGATGCCGGCCCCCAGTGGCTGGGTCCTGTGTTCCCCTCTCCTCCACAGTCCCCACCACTCCCTATTGCCCCACACCAGCACCCTTCATGCATTTATGCTATCTGCCTGGCGCCTATAGGCATTTGGATTTCAAAGCTTTGGTCCGGTGGGGAAGAGGCATTGGAATGGAATGTCCGTTTAGGTGATCTGTGTAAAGCTGGTGCCTCGTCCCTAATTTACAGGTGAAGGAACTAAGATTTAGGGAAGTTAAGTCAACTGCTCAAGGTCACAACAGCTAGGCTGGATTAGAACCCAAGTCCCTTGCCTCCAGGGCGTATACCCACACCCCTGGTAACAGGTATAAAAACACTTTGAACTGTGTCAGATACTGGTGATTACCGCCTCTGTCCTGACTGACCGTGCTGGACAGGAAAGCCCAGTGCTGATTCTTGGTCCTGTCCAAGGCAGGGACTGCACCAGCGATCAGAGTTCCTCGTGAGAAACAGCTCAACGGCAGGGGCAAGAACATTGTGGCACTGGGGACCCGGGGGGGAAGTGGTGACAGGGACGGAAGACCAGACCTCCCCACGCTCACTCGTCCGTGAGACAGAACAAAAGCAAGAGAAGGCTGGCTCGGGGACAGCAGTTCAGCTGGGACACACAATCGCCCGGACTCCCCAAGGCCCGGCAGGGTCAGAGCTCAGCCACAGACAACCGTGAGTAGCTTTTTTGATTGTTTTATTTGGGGTTTCTTCCGCATTCCAGAAAACCAGTGTTCTTACCCTACCTTTCCCTCCAGGGGTGTAGAAGCTGGGTGGGCCTGCCTGGGGCCAGGAGGTTATGTCACAGGAGGATGCCTGAGGTTCTTGAGGACCAGTTACAGGAAGACTCAGGGCTGGTGTGGTCCCCTCCCTTGGATGGGACCAAGAATCAGCACTCAGCTTTCATGTCCAGCCAGGTCAGGACAGAGGTGGTCATCACCAACGCACAGATCGCTTGCTGTGCCGGGCACTGCTCCAAGAACCTTTCATGGTTTGATTTATTTAATCCACACAAGTGTCTACAGTAAGTACTATTATTATTCTCCACTTTACAGACAGGGACTGAGTGATTTACCTAAAGTCACACGGGCTTTAAAGGAGAGTGCTGGGCTTGAACTCAGGAACCTCGCTCCACAGCCCACTCTTTAACCACTAGGCCATCCCGCCTTACAAGGTGCAGGCTTAATTAAACAGCAGATGGTGGGCCAGGAAAGAATCCCAAAAAACTAGGGCTGGGGGCTGGCCCCGTGGCCGAGTGGTTAAGTTCGCACGCTCCACTGCAGGCGGCCCAGTGTTTCGTCGGTTCGAGTCCTGGGCGCGGACATGGCGCTGCTCGTCAAGCCATGCTGAGGCAGCGTCCCACATGCCACAACTAGAAGGACCCACAACGAAGACTATACAACTATGTACTGGGGGTCTTTGGGGAGAAAAAGGGAAAAATAAAGAAAAAAAAATCTTTAAAAAAAAAAAAAGACTAGGGCTGGAAGAGGCCTTAGAGATCATCTGGCCTTTGCTTTACAGGTGGGGAAACTGAGGCACCGAGAGACACAGCTTACCTGATTGGGGCAGCTTGGTAGAGTAGTGTAGGCTAGTCCACACTAGACCCAGGAGGCCAGGGGTCTGCTTCTGTGGAGGTTACACCGGACGGAACAGTTGTTTTTATGAGTGTGCCCTGAGGCCAGCACCTGGGCGTGAGTGCCAGAGCCTCCACCAATAACTCCACGGCCTCAGGCAGGTCGCTCCACTTCTCTCCCACTCAGCTTCCTCTTCTGAGAATTTTGGGCTCAAGACCATCACTCACAGGCTTTGGGAGGGTTGCTGGGATGATGCTGGCTCCGGGATGGGTGCCTGCACTGCGCTCGGTGAATGGCCATGGTGGCCATGGTGGAGATTCTGATCGTCACCCCAGCCGCCCTCCTATGGGTGAGAGATGAGGATGAACAAGGCTGCAGGCTCCTTTTCCCAGAGTGGGTGGTGTGTGGACACCTTGAGGGCACGAAGGCCAGGACCGAGGCAGAGGAGGGGCTGGGGAGAATTTGGGGGAGGCCCTGGGAGGCGGCGCCCCAACGACCCTGGCCCCAGCTCTGCAACCACACTGTGGCTCACCTAGAGGTGGCCCCCTAACCTGTCCTGGGCCCCGGCATCAATTTCTCCCAGTGAAGCGGGTCCTTTACCCTTTGGCTGGTTAAGGCCAGGTTAAGGCGGGGAAACTGGTAGCCCGGCTCGGCTGGGCACAGCCCTCCAGCCCCGATCTCTCCTCTTCCCTCCTCATCTTGTTGCACCTGTTAGTCTTACTGCATGCTCTCAGATGCACATAAAACATTCTTTTATTCATTTTCACGAAAGCAAATCAAAGGGCTCTGAGCCTCCTCCTACTGGGCTGGTTAGAAATGAAATCTCAGTGTTTTGAGCTTCCCTCGCCCCCACCCGCACCTTCCACCTTCACACATTGACTCCTAGGGCACACAGAGAGCACAGAGTGAGGGAGGCCACTGGCTTTCATGCCCCCGGCTCCTCCTATGAAGGAGCTTGATCCCAGAATTCCAGCCCTGTCCGCTTCCCTGGTGTGCCTGGAGGCTGCATTCTTTGCCAAGACTTGAATCCACTGTGCCTTGGGTTCCACCTCAGGGTTGTGCCAACCAGTGACTTCCTCCAGAGGTCCCGCCCACTCCCCAAGGCACTTCCCGGGAGCAAAGGCCAGGTCCCCAACACTGAAGGGACCCATGACCTCTGGTCCCTTCCCTGTGTGGGGCCATGGCGCCCCTCTCCTTGGCTTTGGATCACAGATGCAAGCTCTTCTCTCCCCACCCACCTGGGACACCAGCTTAACTTTCTCACTGAGCTCAGGTTTTCACAAAGGACTAAAGGAAGTCACAAAGGAAGAAGGGCTGTCTTCGAATAGCTTCTGCTTTCTACCCCAACCTCTGCAAAAAGTCCCTGAGCCCCAAGACGCGAAGGGAGACAGGCAGCCCTTATCTTACAGAGAAGGAAAACTAAGGCTCTGAGGCAACGGTGACTCGCCCAAGATCACATGGCTGAGGACTAGTGGAGCCAGTGTGGAGTCCTGCTCTGTGGGCTCCAAAGCCTGTGCCATCAATCGCTGGAGCCTGGGGAAGACCCAGTCTCCCTCTCCAAATTGTCAGGTGACCTTGGGTGAATCTCAGTACTTCAACTCTAAAAATGAAGCTATAATAGCATTACCAACCTGCCTCAAAGGGATGCTTGTTTATTTTCTTAAGTTAACACTTATTTTGCATTTGCTACACACTAGAGCTCTGTGAGCACTGTGACCTTACCTCCTTCAATCCTCACAACAGCCCGCGGGAAAGATGCTATCACCACCCACATTTGAGAGGTGAGAAACCGAAGCTCACACAACCTTGAGACCTTACCCAAGGTCACGTAGCTGGTGGTACATGGCAAAGCCAAAGCTCAAACCCAGGTCCATCTGAATCCAGAACCATGCTCTACTGCGGTGAGAGTCAAATAGGAGAATGGGTGTGGAAACTTCTCTGAAGCGCTGAGGTGCAATACAGGCTCAAGGAATGGTCAGTCCTCTTCCTTCAGAGCTCAGAAAAGGATAAAACCACTTCCTCTTTCCTCCATCTCCTGGGGAGAGAAAGGGTCCATAGAGCATGGGTGTGTCCTGCTCCCACCCCCATGCAGCGAAGACCCCCAGTGCCAAGGAAAGAAAATGGCAGACAAGATCAATGGGGTGGATCAGATGGGGAGGAGACCCCAGTGTCATTAGAGCCAGGCATGGATGTGAAGGCTCCTGGGATCCCATCCAAATGAGGAGGATGTTGGTGAGACCCTGGGGCAGAAGCGACTATGGGGTTGGGCCGGGCGTCCTGTGGGCTCTGCTGCTTCTCATTTCCTCCCTCACCTGCTGCCATCCCTAGAGGGGAGGCCCCTGATCTTCTGCTCACACAGTGAGTCAGAGGCAGCCCCTCCCACCAAAGCCCCTCTGCTCTCCTCTCCCTGGGGATTGGGGCCGCCCCAGAGTTCCTCTTTGAGAAGGACACCTGTGTTCACCGTGTTGCCTCTGTCAGAATTCAATGAGTCCATCCTCTGTATGTCTCTGTGAATCTGTTTGGGTCCTGGGCGATCTTATGGAGCTGAAAGCAGGGGATGGGAGCCTGCTGAAAACCAGGGCAGGAGCGAGGTGCTTCGTGGTCCTTCTCTAGTCCTAACATGAGGCCCATCTTAACAATACCTGCTTGACACATGAGGCTACCAAGGCTCAGACACAGCAGATAAATGGCAGAGACAAGAGTCAAGCCCCGGTCTGTCTTTCCTTTGCTTTGCATCAGCTTTTCCCAACAGAGAGGGAGATGTTCCAGAAGGTTCACATCATGAGAAGATCATGGCACCTATTTCCATTTTTTAAAAATTAGTGAATAATTATTTTACAATTTAAAAGATCTTTTTCTCGGTGTGGGAGCTTCTTCGATAAATGGAAGACTCAAAAACAGCAGGTAGTGGTGATCAAAACACGATGATCTCCTGACTCCCAACCAGGCTGTTTATCATTTGGCCACTGGAGTGGCTTTGGCTGATGTAATGGTTTTACACTAGTCTTATTCTTTTCTTTTCTTTCTCTTTTTTTTTGAGGAAGATTAGCCCTGAGCTAACATCCGTGCCCATCTTCCTCTACTTTATATGTGGGATGCCTACCACAGCATGGCTTGCCAAGTGGTGCCATGTCCAAACCGGTGAACCCCAGGCCGCCAAATCGGAACGTGCGCACTTAACCGCTGCGCCACCCGGCTGGCCCCAGTCTTATTCTTATACTGTTTAATTTATACCCTCAATGAACCAATGGTTAAAGATAGGAAGCAAAAGGAACTCTGAAGCAAAAAAATACAAGGAAGTAAGGAAAAGGAAGATGATGACTCCTCTGCAAATTTGCCTCAAGATTCATAAATTGCATTTATCTGATCAAATTCCTTATATAGCTTATCAGGGAAATTCCTGTACTTCACAGAATTTCAAAGACTGCTAAAAGGAGAAAATAATACGCACTTTCTTTTCCTGTGTTGGGCAGAAAGTTGATCTAGACCTGCCGAATAGATGCAGAGAGGTGCTTGGAAATAGTGACCTGAGATCTATTTTATCTTGCCCTATAACAAACATAAAATTCTTTTTAAAAGATGCCAATTGACTTTTTAAGCATCAAATGAAAGAACTCAGGCCCTGAGGTCATGAAAGTGATTTCTGTCCTCTTGTTACACTTCAGTCCATTTTAACGTCCATTTGGTCCTCCAATAAAAGTCACTTTAAAATTTGTTCAGTAACACACGTTTTCTTCCGTCATGATTTTAAAGGAAATCAAGTACATACGCCAAAGTGGGGAGAGGTCGAAATTTCTCACGTATCACACATGTAATTTAAAGGGTTTAAAATAAATGATAGGGAAAAGTCTTGAAAGGACGCACTTATTGAAAATAGTACATTTGACTTAAATCATTTCCTTTTTCATGGACCATAGAAAATTATGAAATGGCTCAAATGATTCCCATTGGGATTTGTAACGTTGCGTATTACTGTGAACAGTTCCTGAGCCAGAAGAGATCGGAGACATTCTATGCAACCCCCTCATTCTATTTTATTTTACTCTCCAATAAACATAAAGCTCACGTTTACGGAGGGTTTATTAAGTGCCAGCCAGGCCC